CAACAGCACCATAGAAATACAACATATTCTACATTCCTGTCCATAAGAAAATTAGAGGGACAGCTGCATTCCATGCAGTAGGTCTCACTAAACTCTGGCACTTTTTGTTTGAAATCTTCAAGTACACTCCCTTTGGTGAATCCATTACTTTTTCCGCTATCATTTAAAGGCAGCCGAGGAAGGGTCACTGGACCCGAAACGTTAACTCTGATTTCTCTTCACAGACGCTGCCAGACCTGCTGAGTTTTTTCAGCAACTTCTGTTTTTGTTTTTATTAGTTCTGCAGTCAGTTTTATACTTCTTCACATATATGCTGCTGCCATCCACTGTCCCACCTCTCCCAACTGGTCCTCTGTCACTCAATATCAGTCTGCTTACCTGACACCTAACCTGCTGTATTAACAGAAACTTTTTCCACTGCTTATGAGGAAGATGGAAGACATCATCCTCAGTCCCTGTTGCAACCTCCATTCTCTTGCCAGTCTCCTCCACAGGATCAGTCTGAGGCTGAAACTAACAGTTTACAACTTGGTATCATAATTGATCCCAAGATGGGTTTCTGACCATATATCCAATTTATCACTAAGACCATCTACTTCTTACTAACTTCACCCCTGCCTCATCTCATACATTGTTGAAATCCCCCTCTGTGGATCTGATAACACCAGAACCAATTGTTTCAATTTACTCCAGCCAAATCTCTCATATAATATATGCGTCTACCTGATGTAAAGTTGAAGTCACACAAAAAAAATCCTGCTGCCCATGTCCTCATACCATCAGGTCTGTTTACCTTCTAGTCTTATGTAGGGGTTCAATTAGCTCTGTTGGCTGCACGGTTGGTTTGCAATGCACAGTAATGCCAACAGCATGGGTTCAATCCCTGATGGATCTGTAATTCCCAGATTTTCCTGTTTACCTTTCTTAAACAGCAGGATGACAAACGCAAGTTTCCAATCTGAAGGCATCATTCCAAAATCTAAGGAGCGTTGGTGGATGGTTACCACTGCATTGACAATCTCTATATCCACCTCGTTCAACACTCTGGGATATAGGCTCCAGGGACTTATCATCTTACATACACATTAAATTTCACATACAACCTTCTCACAAATATTTACTTCCCCTAACTCCTCATTCTTTCGAGTCACTTGGGTATCTAATTCTTGGAGATTTCTTGTAGCTTCTTCAGTGAAAACAGACTCAAAATAATCATTTAGCTTTTCATAATGTTACAAGTCTTTCTGGGGCCTTGCTGCTCCCTGTATCGGTAATCTTCTTCAGCTACACAATCTCCTGAGACATCTGCAGTGATGGTGTTAAATATTGGTATTGCCAGAATTGAAGCTATAATCAGCATGCCCATTATGAATGGTGCAGAAGGCTCAACAGGTCAAATAACCAACTCCTGCACCAAATTCATAGGCTCAAATATCCATATAATTCTGGCCTCAAGAGCATCCCAATTCTTATTGCTTCCCCATTGGCAGTAATGCTCTCATCGCCTTAAGCTAACACTCTGAAATTTCCTCCCTAAACCTTGTATCTGCCCCTCCTTCTTGTTACAAGATGCTCCTTAAAATCTAGCTCTCTGATCACGCTTTGACCATGTGCCCTAAAATTACCCGATGAGTCTCAGTGTCAAACTTTGCTTCACAACGTTTCTGTGAAGCACACTGGGATGATTACGCAGATGGCATTGTATAACTACAGGTTCTTGCAGCTACCCTTGGATGAAAGTGGCCTCAGCTGTCCTTCAAGAGAGTTAGCAACTCGATGCGCCACAGACCAACGCCTGAGCCCCAGAAACACAACCATGTCACTTGTAAAGATGTGGCTGTCTAAGCTCCAGAACTAACAGGCATGTTGATATCAATCATTCAACAAATGATATAACTGATGCTGTTAGTTTGACAGCCAAATACGTTTCCAGCCATAGGGTAACTTCGCCAACTCTCAGAGAGCAATTATAATTTGGCAGCCAGCACCTTTGTCAGTGAAATATGGTAAGATATTTGAATTGCTTTGTGCATTCTTTTCTAACAGTCTCTCACCATCATGAATAACTTCCTCTTCAAACATTTACTGCAATTCTTTGAGGATATTATCAGCACAGTGGACAAGGGGGGAACCAGTGGATGTGGTGTATCCTCATTTCCAGAAGGCATTTGACAAGATGCTGCACAAAAGGCTGCTGCACAGATAAAGATGTGTGGCGTTACAGGTAACGTATTAGACAAAGACTGGGGATAAATGGGTGTTTTTCTGGTTAGCGCTCAGTGGCTAACAGTGCGTCTCAGGGATCAGTTTTGGGACCACAATTGTTTACAATTTACACAGATAATTTAGAGTTGGGGACCAAGTGTAGGGTGTCAAGGTTCTCAGATGACACTAAAACGAGTGGTAGAGCAAAGTGTGCAGAGGACACTGCAGGTCTGCAGAGGGATATAGATAGCTTAAGTGAATGGGGAAGGGTTGGGCAGATGGAGTACAATGTCGATAAATGTGAGGTCATCTATTAACAACAAAACGGATTATTATTTAAATGGTAAAAAGTTGCAACATGCTGCTGTGCAGAGGGACCTGGGTGTCCTTGTGCATGAATCACAAAAGTTGGCTTGCAGGTGCAGCAGCTAATTAAGAAGGCAAATAGAACATTGTCCTTCATTGCTACCGGGATGGAGTTTACAAAGGGAGGTTTTGCTGCAGCTGTATAGGGTGCTGGTGAGGCCACACCTGGATTACTGTGTTCAGTTTTGGTCTCCTCACTTGGGAAAGAATGTACTGGCACTGAAGTGGGTACAGGGAAGGTTCACTGTGTTGATTCCACAGTTGAGAAGGTTGGCTTATGAGGAGAGATAGAGTGTACTGGGGCTGTACTCACTGGAATTAAGAAGAATGAGGGGGAATCTTATAGAAACATATAAAATTAAAAAGGGAATAGGTAAGATAGAAACAGCAAGATTGTTTCCACTGGCAAGTGAAACTAGAACTAGGGGACTTAGCCTCAAAATAAGGGGGAGCAGATTTAGGACTGAGTTGAGGAGGAACATCTTCACCCAAAGGGCTGTGAATCTGTGGAATTCCCTGCCCAGTGAAGCAGTTGAGGCTACCTCATCGAATGTTTTAAAGGCAAAGATAGATAGATTTTTGATCAGTAAAGGAATTAAGGGTTGTGGTGAGCAGGCAACTAAGTGGAGCTAAGTCCACAAAAAGATTAGCCATGATCTTACTGAATGGCAGACCAGACTCGAGGGGACAGATAGCCTACTCCTGCTCCTATTTCTTATGTTCTTATCTTCCAGCTGACCAGAGTACATCCACTCCTGTAGGTCCCATGTCAATGGCGCAGTATGAGAATTAGGCCAGACCATTCAGGAGAGATAGTAGGAACTGCAGATGCTGGAGAATCTGAGATAACAAGGTGTAGAGCTGGATGAACACAACAGGCCAAGCAGCATCAGAGGAGCAAGAAGGCTGACGTTTCGGGCCTAGACCCTTTTTCTGAAGAAGGGTCTAGGCCCGAAACATCAGCCTTTCTGCTCCTCTCATGCTGCTTAGCCTGCTGTGTTCATTCAGGAGAGAGGTTGGGAAGGACTTAGAGTCATAGAGGCAAAGAGCTGCACATCACAGAAACAGACCCTTCGATCTAATTTGTCCATACTGACCAGATAACCTAAATTAAACTACTCCCATTTGCCAACATTTGGCCCAGAGTCCTCTTCCACACACAAAGGGTGGTAGAGGTTTGGAACTCTCTTCCACAAACAACAGTTGATGCTAGATTAGTTGTTCCTTTTAAATAGGAGATGTATATGTTTTTGTTAAGCAAAGGTATTACGGGATTTAGGTCAAAGGCAGATATATGGAGTTAGGCCACAGAGCAGTTATGATCTCATTGAATAGCCAGCAGGATCGAGGGGCTGAGTGGCCTACTCTTGTTCCTTCATTCCTAAGATGTCTCTTTGTAGTCACTAAATAATTGCCAGTACATGTTAATATTCACCGATCTCTTTAAGGATAGGGTAGCACAGGGTTAATTCATTCATGTAGCGGTTGGTAGACCTTTCACGTGGCTTGATGAAAACTGAAATGGTTAATTTAAGACTATTTAGTAAGTCAGTTTAGGTACTTCTCACTTTTAAACTCAAGTTTGATGCTCAACTCCAGACCATTGTTGAGTGAGAATTTGTTTTGTTCTGCAGCGTGGATGCGGTGAAGAAGACCCCATTGGCCTACACACATCTCGTCACTATCATAGCCCGACCCCACCGAAAACCAATAATGAATAAACATTTCCAGCTGCTCTTTAAATAGTATTAACAGAAACAGAGCATAAAAATGAACACACTGGGACCCCATCAGCAGAAACATTCATCCAAGCAGCTAACCAATCATCATACCAAGGTCAATGCACTAGCTATTGAAAAAAAAAAGTGAGGTGAATGATTAACATTTGTTACTCAATAATTCTACATTCTGCTTTCTAGCTCTTTAGTAAGACTTTTCTAGGGGTCCATCCAGGAAATTGACCTCCAGTGAGGCACAATACTACAACGTGACTGGAAAGAGCAACACTGGCCTGAACATGGAGCATGGGACAAAGGCAGGTCATGTGGAGTTAGGTTGCATATCGGCAATGGTCCCACTGAATGGTGGAACAGGCTTAAGAGGATCAATAGTTCCTTTCTGTTCTTTGGCGTTGCAGCTGATTTTCAAAGAGTTTATTCACAAACATCAAAACTACTCATTTGCAGGAGGTTTTCTCACGGTAGTTGTTTCAAGGCAATCTGAGTGACCGAGATAGAGGTGGGTGGGTGCATGGAGAGACAATCCTATTGTCCGTCTCTGCCTCTTGGATGTTACTGAGGGAGCCAGACTGTTTTGATAACCGCACTGATACATTACAATTTATCACAAGCCTACAGCGGGCACGGTGGGGGGGTGGGGAGCGGGGGTTGCATGATGAGGCTGCAGAGCCACGTCAGAGAGACACACACCTGTTGGAACGGCCGGGACTGCACTTGTTGCCGGAGGAGACGTTGCTGCTGTTGTTGCTGCAGGAGCTTCATCTGCAGTAGCTGTTGCTGGGGAGAGATGCTGGGCATGGAAGGAGGCTGCATCATGGAGCCAGAGCGGCGCTGCAACATGTTCGTGAGGGCCTGCTTGGTGTTTGTCGGTGTGAACTGACCCGTTGGATCCAACCGGGGCCCACCTGAAAGCAGAAAAGGAAACAAATTGTTTGACCTTACACATTCAGATCACCTCGTGCACCGTCCCTCACATCTCCAACAATCGCCCAAGATCGATGGCGAAGCCAATCACTTCACAAAAGATTCCTGGCTCTAAAGTACCATTTGCAGAATCACTAACACCAGGACTGGCCAATATAAAGGGTGGAGCATGAGAGGCTCAATCACCTACTATTCAGGCAGCAGGGTGCAGCATTGTCTCTAGCTTTATAATTGGTCATTGGGCAATCTTCCTCATCCAGGACAAGCTAAGAGAAAGGGTTTATTTGGCTGCCTGTCCATGAAAGTTAAGAAAAGGAGACTCCACAGCACTGGGAATTTTAAGGTCGCTGCTTATAAATTCCCACTTGGGTGGGGCAGCACAGTATTTAGTGCTGCTGTCTCAGAGCACCAGGGACCCTGGTTCGCTTCCAGCCTTGGGTGACTACGTGGAGTTTGCACATTAGAATCCCTACAGTGTACAAGCACGTCGTTTGACCCATTGAGTACACACTGACCCTCCAAAGAGCATCCCAACCAAACCCACCACCCCTAGCCAATTCCTGTAACCCTGCATTTCCCATGACTAATCTATCAAGCCTGCACATCCCTGGATGCTATGGGCAGTTTAGCTGTCCTAAGTCTGCATGGATTTCTTCCTGGTGCCCCCATTTCCTCCCACAGTCGAAAGGTTAGGTGGATTGGCCATGGGAAACGCGGGGTTAGGATGGGTGGGGGTGTGGGTGAGGGGGAGATGCTCTTTAGAGGATCAGTGCAAACTCGATGGGCTGCATGGCCTCTTTCGGCATGTAGGGATTTTGTGAATTTGCGCGAACCTGCCAAAGTTGATATTTGTTGGACAAAAGGCCGAAAAAACTGTAGATGCTGGAAATCTGAATCAAAAATAAAAATTGCTGAGTATTTCCAGTAATTTCTATTTTTGTTTCAGATAGTTATTGGACTCGCACAGCTGCCCAGAGGGAGCAGTGTTGAGCCGCCTACTTGAACCGTTGCAGTCCATATGAGGCTGGGCTTCTGCTATTGTTATTGTTGGTATTGCTTCATAAAATCCACTGATGTTCCTGTCAATAAAAGAAATCAACCAGGTCAGTGTAGGACTGGAATCACAAAGATTGCATTGAAGGAGGTCAAGTTTTCATCACTAGTTCGCAAACTAGTTGAACTGTTGTGGCAATGTACATTGTACATTGTACAATTGTACATTGTACAATTAATTGATGCATATATAATTAATGCAAGAAAAACTTTTCATTTCTTAACACATTGACTGCTTAAGGTCACTACTACATTACTAAAACCAGCCTTTCATTCCCAGATTTTTTTTTTAAAAAGCCTTAAACATTCAGTGACAAAATTTATTCATAAAGCATTATGGAGTATTATCATGGCACCTCCTAGTTTATCCTCAAATAAGGTTCATCTTGTATTATATACTTTTCTCCATGTTGTCAAGAGCACCTCAAACACATGTCAATCAATTTGCAAATCACTGGTTGGCACTATACTCTAATCCAAGTGTCAACCGTGAAAAGTCAAGATAGCTTTTTGTTTTTTGCAAGCTGAACCCCGTCTTTTATCATTTTATCATCTTGCACACTTCCACATTTCTAGATAAGTGCATATGACAAAGATCATTCAGATCAATTTAAGATTAGCTAAAAAGTCTTATATCTTAAAGTGTGAGACTCAGAATTAATAATCGCAAGCAAAAAAATGGGAGAAAATGTGAACAAGTATTTTGTACCTGTCTGCATGGTGAAGGGCACTAAAGCATCCCAATAATAGCAGAAAGTCAGAGGGCAAAAGGGAGAGAAGAACACAAAACAATTATAACAACAAAAAAATTGTACATCAGCGAATTTAAGGGGCTCAAGGTAATTCAAAAGGACTTTTGTCCTTCATTGCAAGAGGGATGGAGTTTAAAAATAGAGAAGTTTTGCTGCAGCTGTACAGCTTCTGGATGAGGCCAGACCTGGAATATTGTGTACAGTTTTGGTCTCCTTACTTAAATAATGTATTGGCGCTGGAGTGGGTGCAGAGGAGATTCATTAGGTTGATTCTGGAGTTGACAAGGTTGCCTTATGAGGAACAATTGAGTAGACTAGGACTATACTCATTGGAATTTAGAAGAATTATGGGGTATCTTGTAGAAACACATAAAATTATGAAGGGAATAGATAAGATAGAAGCAGCAAGGTTGTTTCCACTGGCAGGTGAAACTAGACCCAGGGGGCATAGCATCAAAATAAGGTGGAGCAGATTTAGGACTGAGCTCAGGAGAAACTTCTTCACCCAAAGGGTTGTGAACCTGTGGAATTCCCTGCCCAGTGAAGCAGTTGAGACTTCCTCATCGAATGTTTTTAAGGTAAAGATAGATAGATTTTTGATCAGTAAAGGAATTAAGGGTTATGGTGAGCAGGCAAGTAAGTGGAGCTGAGTCCATGAAAAGATCAGCAATAATCTTATTGAAAGGCTTGACAGGCCAGATGGCTTACTCGTGCTCCTATTTCTTGTGTTCTTATGTCTGACAGTTCTTCCAGATTTGATGGCCAGTATCTTAATGGCTTAATGCACGTATTGGCTGGAATACATTGAAAAGCCATGAACATAATGACCCTGTTTAAGGAAGAAGGGGGATAGAAAGCAGCAAACTAATAGGTTAGTTAGCCAGACATCTGTCATTGGGACAATGCTGGAATCTGATTTTAATGAAGTAGGAGGAGGGTATAGAAAAAAAATCATTAATACAATTTGAGCAGATTCTAAATGGAGTTATGAAAAGGAAACCATGTTTGACAAATTTAAGAGTTCTTTGAGTATATAGCAAGTAGAGTAGTTAAAGTGAAAGCAGTGGATGTAGTGCATTTGCAAAAAGTATTCAACAGAGTGCCACATAAAAGGCAAGATAAAGATTTGTGGTGTTGGGGGACAATGTATAGCATAGGTAGAGGAATTGCCAGCCAACAGGAAACAAAGTAGGGATGAATGGATCATTTTCAGGTTCACAACCTGTAACTAGTGTTACAGTTAATTTTGCTTTTGCCAGGAAAACAATTTTCCTTTCGCTTCCCTGCCACTGTGTGCTGCATAAGATTGAAATTTCCTTTACATGCTATGTTCATGGGTGCTGAATCATTCTGACAGATAAGTGTTAAATGTTTTGACATCTTCATATATCACTATTAGCTGTTAGATATGTAGATATGTTTTTAACGCAGTGACTAATCATGGGGGTCTGTCTTGGAAAGGTAAGTTGACTATTACAATGACCAGAAATGTCTTAAGTGTTGACATACGTTACAGCATTTTGACCAAGGGAGGAAGTGCCATAGGCATTCAAAACTGTAGAGAAACACGAGGGAAACAGTAAGGATGTTGGTAGTTGGGCCGCTGTCTGAGATCCAAGACAGGCCTCCGAACCAGCCTACCCCCACACCCACACTCCACCAGAAGGTAACGTGACTTGCAAACCACACACAGAAACTGAACCTTGCTTGGAAATACAAAAATCCCTGGCAAAATCAGTCATCAGTTGGTTATATATTTCAGAATTTATAAAAGGACCTGACTAGCATTTCACAATCCTGAAGAAATTCCAGTCCCAAAAGACTGCAAAGCGATAAAGATCAATTCAGCGACCGGGCAAAACATTGGCGTATTATGTGTGCAACAAGTGAAGGTATCACGTTAATTAGGAAGAATAGAAAAGAATAGAAATGCATATATTATTTAATTACAGAATCCAAAACAGAAATTGCTGGAGAAACTCAGCAGGCCTAGCAGAATTTGTGGGCAGAAAGCAGAGTTAACATTTCAAATCCAGTGACCCTTCATTAGGACAGGAGCTCGCTGTGTGCAAAGTGGCCCCTGCATTTCCTAAATTATTACAGTGACCACATCCCAGAGGTCTTTCAAAAGGTTGCAAACCACATTGCAGTGTTCTTTGGTTGTGAAAGATGCTAGAATCTATAGACGCTCCAAGCACTCATCGACAGTGACAACAGAATACAACAAAACATTCCAAGGAGCTTAACAACAGTGATCCTGATTAAAAAAAACACTTGTGGCATTGAGCCATAGACTCAGCTATCTAGAGAGGTGATGAAAGACCCAGGCAAAGAGATAGATTTTAAAGAGCAATGTGAAGGAGAACAGAAAGCTAAAGAGAGAGAGGAATTCCAAAGCCTAGGCTTTATGCAGCTGAAGGCACAACTGCCAATCCTGAACAAACTAAAATCGAGGAAGCACAAGAGGCCAGACTTGAACAGTCATGGAGGTACGAGAGGCATTACGCAGTGGAACGTGTAGCTTAAACAGGGAGACATAACAGAGTCTGTGCCTCTGCATTTACCTGGTGGGAGCGGTTGGTTTTGAAAGTAGAACCCTGTCTGCTGGGCCTGACCCATGAGATTGTAGCCCCACGAAGGGGCTCCTTGGGGATGTTGCATCATCTGAGAAGACATTGGGGTGTAATTTGGAGGCACTCTGTAAGCACTGTTTTGTTGATAGTCCTGTAACAGAGAGAAACTAGTATTAATTTGTTGACAAGGTGACAGAGCACACTAATGACGCTAGGCATTGTGCAACAAAACAGTTGGACACAGATTTGTCCCCACAGCACCAAACAAAGTCCTGCTCTGATAACCAAACAGTGTAACTACTCAGGTGTGGAATTTGGACAATTTAGCAAGTGTATGGGTTAATGTAAGTAAGCTTTGCAACTTGAGGCTAGTGATTGTCATTATGTGTAGGCTCCCTTGTAGAACCATACCCAATTCAAGCACTTGGAACCATGCAAATAAATGATTTAGATGAAAGAACAGACTGTTGTTTATTGTTTGTAGATGACAGCAAGTTCGAAGCTACAGGATGTTAGGTAGCTGGGCACTGATAGTTATGAAGGCAAGTGAGTGGACAAAACTGTGTTTGATGAGTGAAAGTACAAAGTCATCCACTTGAGATCTAAACCAACCAAAATGGAATATTTTCTAACTGGTAGGAAAGTGAATACAGTGGTGGAGAAAAGGAATTTGTGTGCCCAAGCAAACAATCATTAAAAACGCCACAAGCAAAAACCAAATTAAAGCAGCAAATGGAATGTTAGTCTTTATCTTCAAGGAGTTTGGAATAAAAAAGGGGCAAAGTTGTGCAGAGACTTAGCCAGATCCTATCTGGAATTCTATGAATTTTGGCACAGCATCTCAAGGAGATATTCCTCAGAGAAGCAGCAGGATAGATACACCAGTATCTAAAGGCTCGAGTTATGGAGATAAGCTACAGAAACATAGGTTTTATCTACATGAGTTAGAAGGTTAGGAGTGATTTTACTGAGAAGTTTACAATGATGAAAAGAAATTGATGGGTAGACACAAAGGTACTCTATTGTCAGACAGAGGAATTCAGAAGGACAATAGTCAATCTAAAGGTTAGAGCTGGGCCATTGTGTAGTGAAATTAGAATGCAGTTTTTCCGCACTAAGTAGTGTAGAAATCTGGAGTTGTCACCTCAAAAGGGCTGTTTAATGAGTCAAATGATGCTTTCAAGGGACAAGCAGGAACATATGAATAGGAGAAGGCCATTCAGCCTCTTGGGTCAGCTCTGCCATGAAACTAAATGGCTCATTTGTATTTCAACTCTAACCATCCACCCTGTGGTTCTCTAACCCTCAATTACCCTGACCCTAAGAAAAACCTACAATATTAACAGGGGGATGCTGTCCTTCAATTCACTTGCACTAGAAGTATGGATAGAAAGGAACAGGAACACAATTGCCAACATGGTACAAGATGTCTCTTACGTCTGTTCTTGACGCTGAAGACTTTGGCTTCCTTTTCCTGCTCTTGGTCTTTTTCTCCTCCTCCTGATTGGTTTTGGTCTGATCAGAAATTTCAATTGGTTTCTTCTCAGAATCGAGGGAGACTGGGGTGGGAGGCTCCTCCTCATCCTCCGGAGGGAGTGGTAAAGGCTCCAGATAGTAACTTCTTGGCTTTGGTTTGGGATGCGTGTGGTACAAGAGAAGATGGTGTTGATCTTCATACTTGATAACTTTCCGATCGACACGCACCGTGCCAAACCAGGCCCAGGAGAGTGGAGCTGGATTCTTATGTCCCTCAAATAAATCCCAAGGGTTGACCTTCTGTTTTGTCGAAACCTGGAGACCCTAGAGCACACAACATGGGTTGCCATTTAGATTGAAACATCAAGAAATATCAGGTAAAATGTAACAGTGCAATACTTATATAAACACAGAGAAAACATGCTCTGAAATCTTACCAATGTTCCTCCCTGTGCTATTAAGAAGGGAGAAAGCAAAGTTCCAATCAACAATAAAGCCATTTAATGATGCCTTAGCCAGGTTAGTCATTGACCCTACAGGAAGTCAGGAAACTCCACCAACTCACTGATAAGTCAGCAGACATTGCACAAATTGTACAATTACCCACTTTTTATTCATGTGATCTAGGTGCTGTTGGCTGGGCCAACATTTATGGCCCATCCCGAATTGTCCTCGAGAAAGTTAGCTGAGCTGCCTTTGTAAAATGATACAGTCCTCTGGAGTGAGTGGGAATTTCACCCACAATGCTGTTAGGAAGGGAGTTCCAGGATTTCCACTCAGCAACACTGAAAGACTGATGATTTAATTCCAAGTAAGGGTAGTGTGCGACTTGGACAAAAACTTCCAGATGTTTGTGATCAAATGGATCTACTGCCCTTGTCTTTTCAAGTGACTGAGTTTGTGGGTTTGCACGTTTGCTGTTAAAGGAGTCTTTGTGAGTTGATACAGTGCCAATTGTAGGTGGCACACACTGCAGCCACCATGTTTAGTGGTGAAAAGAGTGAGTATTGACAATGCTATGGAGAGTGCCTAGCAAGAAGGATGTTTTGTCCTGGATGGTGTTAGGTTTCTTAGGTGTTGCTGGAATGTATCCACCTAGGACATTGTAGAGTATGTCATCACAATTCTGACTTGGACATGGTTTAGGGAGACAAGAGGTAAGATACTTGGAGCAGGATTCCTAGCATCTGACCTCCTCTCACAGCCACTGTATTTAATGGCTGGTCTAGTTCAGTTTCTAGTCAATGCTAACTCCAGGATGTTGTAGGAGGGAATTCAGTGATGGTCATGATATTGACCATCAAGAGGAGACTGTTAGATTTTCTAAAACAAAAACAAAGTGCTGGAGAAACTCAGCACAACAGGCAGCCTCTGTAGACAGAAAAACACAGTTAATGTTTCAAGTCCAGTTTCGAGATCAGACTGACAAAAGGTTCACTGGATTTGAAACGTTAACTCTGCTTTCTCTGCACGCAAGCTGCCAGACCTGCCGAGTTTCTCCAGCAATTTCTGTTTCAGATTTCCAGCATCTGCAATTCCTTGTTTTTATTTCGGTTAGATTGTCTCTTGCTTGAGTTGGTCGCAGCCTGACAAATGTATGATTCAAATGTTACTTTCAACCCATGCCTGCATGTTCTTAGCCTCAAGAGTGGACACTCAGCCAGGCTGGGAAGTGGAGATTAAATGGTATGCATTTTTTTTTTTAAAAAGAGAGCTATCAGTGTGATGAACTAAACCTGCTCCTTGTGTGCTTTGAAATTTCTACACATTCTGTTGAAATTGCATGCATGCGCTTTCCGGTCAGGTGCAAAATCTTGGAATTAGTCTCCCCAGTGAACAGCCCACAACTCCTGCCATCAAGTCTGAAACATGGGCCAGCCACTGGAGGACATCAAACATTGATGTGACTGTATATCTGGCAACATCAACAGATGAGGTGACACAGTGGCTCAGTGGTTAGCACTGCTGCCTCACAGCACCAGGGATCTGGGTTCGATTCCACCCTCAGGTGACTGTGTGTGTGGAGTTTGCATATTGGCCCCGTGTCTGCGTGGGTTTCCTACGGGTGCTCCAGTTTCCCCCAACAGTCCAAAGATGTGCAGGTTAGGTGGACCAGCCATGCTAAACTGCTCATAGTGTCCAGGTTAGTTGGCTTAGCCAAGGGAAATGCAGGGTTACAGGGATGGGGTGGGGAGGGGTTGAGTGAGATGCTCTTCAGAGGGCCAGTGTGGACTCAATGGGCCAATTGGCCTGCTTCCACACTGTAGGGAATCTATCATTTTATGATGAGGGAAGAAAAACGGCTGAGTAAACAAGCAAGAAAAAATTAAATGCTCAAACCTTTAGCCACAGAATTCATCCTATAGACCGTAAATGTTTAAGTTTTTGGTTACTCTCTATTTTAGTGTTACCCTGTCTTTACCCACAAACATCCTTTCTGTTTATGCAGCAAAAGACTCAAACTGAGAAGTAATTCATAGTGATAGCATGTTTGCTCTTTTGATGAAGAGATTAACCCATTTATAAATACATAAATTAACACCTACAATAATATCAGTCCTAAGTCTATCAAGTATGGCTCTCTTATAAAACAGATAGGGCTGGAGAAACTCAATAGGTCTGGCAGCAACTGTGAAGCCAGAAACATCTTGAACCCAATAACCCTCCTTCAGAACTGAAATGAGCTGAAAAATGATGCTTTTTACACAGTTTACATAATGGGAGGACCAAGCGATTGTCCAATACCATTTTCTATAGAGAAGATCAGCACATTCTCCCCGTGTCTGATAAGAGAAAGCAAATGCAAAGGGTTCTGATGAAATGGCATTGACCTGAAATGTTCACTTTGTTTCTCTCTCCACACAAGCTGCCTGATCTGCTGAGTTCTTCTGGCACTTTGTTACCCATTTAAATAAAATAGACTTGCATTTATATGACACCTTTCATAACCCCAAACCATCCAAAGCAATTTCCACCAATTATGCATTTTTTGAAGTGTTGCTGCTGTTACAGTGTAGGAAATATAGCAGCGAATTTCTGCATTGTAAGCTCCCACAGACAACAGTAAGTGAGTGATTTGTTACGGAGGTACTGGTTAACGATGAGTGCTGGCCTCGTCAGTGGGGGAAAAAGTCTTCTGATCATTGAAAAACTGTGGCATAATATGAGTGATTTCAGAGTAGAGATTCTACTCAATCTGAACTAACTCTTAAAACATTGGTTCTCAAAGTGGAATCCACCATGGGAGGCCTGCAGAGTCTTTCCAGACTCTGAACAGAACAGAGGGTCAAGACCACAGGGCACCAAGATCAAGGATTAGTGAAAAGCTGTGAATAAAGGTGTCTTCTTCCCACTCTCTCTCCGCTCCTATTCTTCCTCAGTTTGTATTCTCTCTAGGCTCCGGCTCTCCACAAGCTTCTGCCCTCAGCATAATGGGTTTTCCCACTGCCCCAATCTCCTTCTGCTACCTTCACATTCGCCTAAGTTTTGGCTCTCTCTCTGTGCACCATGAAGGGTAATATAACTACCTGACCTCTCAATCTGCTACTGTCAGGCCTAGCAATGAGGAAGAGGGACATCCCTCTCACTGATATTTGTAAGTAACTACCTGTTTACTCAAAAACATATTAAATGTGTACTTACTTTTTATTTATTCATTCATTCACGGGATATGGGCATTGCTGGCTAGGCCAACATTTAAAGCCATCCCTAATTAAAGTGTCAACCATATCGCTATGGGTCTGGGATCACACATGGGCAGGGTAAGGAAGGTAATTTTCTTCCCTAAAGGGCATTAGTGAACCAGATGGGATTTTCCCGACAATCAGCAGTGGATTCATGGGTATCATTAGACTCTCAATTCCAGATTTTTGTTGAATTCCAATTCCATCATCTGCTGTGGCAGGATTCGAACCCGGGGCCCCAGAACATTACCTGGCTCTCTGGATTACCTCCCCATACGTGCAGCACTTTCATACCATGACTGTTATATGCCACTGCAATTTTTAGATGGGTCAGTTTATAAATATTACTCCATTTAAAGAGGGGTTCTTCAATGAAAACGGTGAGAGAACCAGCACCTTAAGAAAATGCAAGAAACTGTAGCATAACCTTGAAACAAGGAGATGTCTTCACTCTGGTCACACAATACCTGCCTGTTTTTTGTCTATGGAGTCAAATCCTGCAATTTTGTTGCCTTTTGTGTCAATCAACGATCCCATTGGCTCACAAGTAATGACATCACAGGTTTGCTTTGGTAACGGCAGCAGCTGACGCACTTTGTCGATGCTTTCTGAATGTTTGTCACCAAGTTCTTTCTGACAGAAAAAGAGACAAGAACAAGACAATCATGTTAAATCCTGTGGTGTGTCATTCCAATGGAAAAGACACTTCGCAGAACTAATTGAGAAGGGTTAGTTAACTCGACAGTGTGGATATTTTATGCGCATACAACTGCAGTTGAAGAAAAAAGTTTTAAAATGTTCAATCTTAACTTTGAATTGGGTATGACGTGGAATCCAGGTTATGGGCTGAGCAACCATATGGAGTTAGACATACGATTTGCATCTTACTTACGATGGCAACTAGTTTTCAGATGAACGAAAACAGAAGTTGCAAGAAAAGCTCAGCAAGTCCGGCGGTATCAGTGAAGAAAAAAACCCTTCCTCAGTTCTCGGATGACGTTGAGCTAATATCAGGATATCACCATTGGGAGACCTTTGTGTATTGGATCTCTGAAGGTAGACTTAGCCCTTAAGCATGTAAATTTACAGGACAACAGAATAGAGAGATGGGAATTAAGATTCAAACATGATGTCTGAAACCAAACGGGAAGACAGCAAAACATTCTGGTATCATTCACGTTCTTTGCTGCCACAACAGCTCCATGCATCTGAATTCAGCACACATCACCATCAGGTTAGCCTGAAGGTTCTGCTTTTAGTTGGAAGAGGTTGTCAGAGGAACTGAGTGTGGCAGAGAATTGACATTTTCACCTGTGTCGCAGGTCAGCATTCACAGGGTCGGTTTCTGAACACCAGTAACTGCAAAGAAGCGAGATAATTCTGAAACCACAAGAAAGATAATCCACCAACACAGAACAGTGTGGCATGCTCATTATCTGATTGACTTATTGGAAGTTAACTCACTGAAATAAGTGAGTTTCATCACAACATTTCCTCTGTGGTCATGGTGCTACGGATCATTTAGGGAGCCTGGGTTGCTGTGTTAACCTGTTTTCTTACAAACACATCGTAATCTGGAGCTCTGATAGCAGCGGTTTAAGGCTCCAAGCTTCTTTCCGTCACGTGGCTGGTCAGGAATCTTTATCACGCTTACCGCCAGCCATTAGTATGTAATTGGAAGCTTCGGAGGTTGACACTTAAACCTATTTGATCGTGTTGTGAATTCACCTTCATTGGGCATCAAGTCCCTGAACTTGGACCTTCTGGCTCAGAGGGAGGCCCATTATGTACATCACCCCAGGCACCTGCTCCTTCCTCAGTGCTTTCACCTTATTATCGATTCATATCGGGTCTGCCCTTGAAAAGACTGAAGCAGCACACAACTACAAAGATACGAATCAACATCACTGGGGCCAATTGTGGTAAGGGGCTAGGTTAAGTGAATAAATGGATGTTGGGCAGGGTGAGTAGACTCCCTTAAAACTAACAGACACAGATTGCTTATGGAAGTGACTGACAACAGAGAATGTTGTTCTTCTGTGCATGACAATCTCACGGCTACAGACCGTGATCCATGAATTTTTTTTTTCACACAGGCCAAGCAAGACTTTTTGACCTGAGATAACTGTACCATAGAATCCTTTGTCAATCTTCCTATTGTCCGCTCTGGTCTTTTGCTTCTCACTGCTCAATCATGACCCCCGTCAGCCCATGAGCATTTGTGAGCAAAGGACAGATGTGCTACCAAATTGACAGAAAAGTTGTTGAAGTGAAAAGACTCTTCACATTTATTTCTTTGCAAAAATGCACCTTGGCTAAATGTAATTTGTGATGCCCAAAATACACAACATACTTAACAGAAATAAAAACAAAATATGCCAGACAAACTTGGCAGATCAGACACCATCTATGGCGTGGAAAAGAAGCTTAACTCGACCTGAAACATGGGCCATGGTTCTATTGAGAGAAGGGCGTGTTGAGACTGCCAAACTCTGTTGCATTCCAATGGCAACTCTCAGACCAATCACAGTCCAACTGCCTGGTCTGAGAAATAAAATGGACGGTTGACAGTTCTCAGTACAACTCTACGTCAATGATGGACCGCCCCCCCAAACAAAGGCACCCTCTTCTCATTCTATAGAAACTGATGTTCTATTTTTTTGAGTTTGCTTCTCGTGTCTAAGTTTTGAAGAGTGCAAGATGGAAAGCTTCAACTTCTTCCCTCCTGTTAGTAATGTTTAGTAAAGCTTTGATTAAAAACACCTTTATGCTTGAAGAACAAGGAAGGTTATGTAGAAGTCCTTCCAGACCATGTAGCAAGACCCCAGTATCAGAGGCAGCTGAGGTGCAAGTCTACTGCACACTCCCTCAACTGAAAGGCTTGTTATGGCAATGAGAAGGAACAGCGCATACACTTCAAAAATACAGTAGTTCCATTGTATTTTACTATGTTTAAAGTATGCAACTGAATAAGCGTTAAAACTTCAAGGTAGACAAACTGCAAACCACTGAACTGTACATTTGGTCTTGTAGCCAAACACACATCTGGAAGAACCATTTCCAGATAATGAATGCTGATACAGCTACATTGAGATGAGGTACCGTGAGACAGTCCAAACTGCATTTAATGCTAATCTCTAAGTGTTGTCAAAAAGATCTCTAAAGGTTCCTCTCTTAAATTTGGCCGGTATAGGGCATTTTTCTTGCGCCAATTTTGTGGAATTCTTGTGCTTGTTGGAAAGTCAACTGATGTTGGCCAACTACCTTCCATTCAGTAAATTAAAATCTTCTTAAAATTGAAGGCTTTAGTACTCCTCATATCTGGGTTGGATTAGTAATCTGGCTTCAGAAGTCAAAGGATAAAGTTCCAAAATGGATTGAAATGGTGGCACTTTTTCCTGATGGAATTGCTAACAGCAATGACATAATGTGAGGGCCCAGGTGCTGGGATAAGAGTCTATGTTCGTCCATGCGCTGGCCCTTTAAGACAGGCTTGGGGAGGGGTAGGGTGTATTCTCAAAGGAGAGCAACTAGCTTACTGATTATGACATCCTAGATTCCATGAAATGCCTGTCTGACTTGAGGTTACTATGGGAACAAATAACTAAGAAGCAAAAAGGTAAATAGAAAGATAATTAGTTGGAATATCATGCTGTTTTCTGTTTGAAGGTTATGTGGAAAGCGTAATGTATTTTTCAAATTGCAATTCTCTGCTAAAAGAATGAAGCTACCAGATTGCAGATTTTAAAACAGAAGAGTATTTACAATTCCATAAGACCACAAGGCATAGGAGCAGAAATTAGGCCATTCAGCCCATCGAGTCTGCTCCGCCATTCAATCATGGCTGATAAGTTCCTCGACCCCATTCTCCTGCTTTCTCCCCGTAACCCTTGATCCCATTGATAATCAAGAGCCTATCTATCTCAGTCTTAAATGTACTCAATGACCTGGCCTCCACAGTCTTCCAAGGCAGTGAATTCCATAGATTCACCACTCTCTGGACAAATAAGTTTCTCCTTATCTCTGTTCTAAAAGGTCTTCCCTTTACTCTAAGGCTGTGCTCTCTGGTCCTAGTCTCTCCTACCAATGGAAGCATCTTCCCAACATCCACGCTGTCCAGGCCAATCAGTATTCTGAAAGTTTCAATTAGATCTCCCTTCATCCTTCTAAACTCCGATGAGTATAGTCCCAGAGTCCTCAAACGTTCCTCGGGACCATTCTTGTGAACCTCCTCTGAACCCGCTCCAGGGCCAGTACATCCTTCCTGAGATATGGGGCCCAAAACTGCGCACAATACTCCAAATGTGGCCTGACCAGAGCCTTATAAGGCCTCAGTCGTACATCCCTGCTTTTATATTCAAGTCCTCTCAAAATAAATACCAACATTGCATTTGCCTTCCTGGCTACTGACTCAACCTGCAAGTTTACCTTGAGAGAATCCTGGACTAGAACTCCCAAGTCTTTTTGCACTTCAGACTTCTGAATTTTCTCCCCATTTAGAAAATAGAAAATTTAGAAAATTCAGTAATCAACCAATGCAAACATTGCACGTTGAGGTGCAATCGCCGAAGGTGTAACACCTGCCCATTTACCTCCTCCCTCCTCCCTATCCAAGGGCCCAGACACACCTTCCAGGTGAAGCACCGAAGTATGTGCACTTCACTCAACCTAGTCTATTGCATTCGCTGCTCACAATGTGGGTCTCCTCTACACTGGGGAAATGAAATGCAGACTGGGCGACTGCTTTACAGCACACCTATGTTCCGTCCGTAAAAATGACCCTGAGCTTCCAGTTGTCTGCCACTTTTCGGGCCTGAGCAGCTTCTCTCATACCCTTGCCCAATCTCGCACACACCAGGCCTTGTCATCACCTAGGCTGCTACCACAAACAATCCATTGTCAGCCATTAATGATTTCCATTAATGGTGGCACGGTGGACCAGTGGTTAGCGCTGCTGCCTCACAGCCCCAGGGACCCGGGTTTGATTCCACCCTCAAGTGACTGTCTGTGTGGAGTTTGCACATTCTCCCCGTGTCTGCGTGGGTTTCCTCCGAGTGCTCTGGTTTCCTCCCACAGTCCAAAAGATGTGGAGGCTAGGTGGATTGGCCATGCTAAATTGCTCCATAGTGTCCAGGGACGTGTAGGTTAAGTGGATCAGCCATAGGAAATGCAGAGTTAAAGTGATAGGGTATGGGGTTGGGCTTGGGTCGGATGCTCTTCAGAGGGTCTGTGAGGACTCAATGGGCTGAACGACCTGCTTCCGCACTGTAGGGATTCTATGATTAGCAGCTATTCATTCCCCAAGGCTGACCTTTACCCATTCCTTCGTCTGCCCAAATCTTTTTCTCTCTCTCTGGAATCCACCTCCAAATATTGTTTATTCCTTCCCACTCCACCCCTTTAGCATACACACTCATCTTTTCCCAGCTACAATCAGTTCTGAAGGGTCACTGGACTCAAAACTTCTGATTTCTGTCCATAGATGCTGCCAGACCTGCTTCGTTTATCCAGCAATTTCTGTTTTTGTTTCTGATTTCCTGCAGTTCTTTGGCTTTTATTTCCCAAAGTGTACTGATGCATAGCCTGATATGTCCCTGATGATACTGTTATAAAACTGAGCCACAGAAGAATACAACACATTAGTACCTGCTGCTTTTTGCATGAAGTTCCTGCCTCTAATCCACTTAAAATAGGCATCCACAGCTTTATGTTAAATATCTCCACTGAAACTGCACAGGAAGATATCTCACATGTGTTAAAGATTCCTGTGCTCTCAATACTTTTTCCAAGACAATGTCATTCAAAAGGAGAACTGGGAGAGAGCTATTTGCTTTGCTGTGGAGATCAACACGTAAAAAGCCTTTCTAAATTCAATCAAACATCATGAATTTAAATGTATTTTTAATAGAGCTTAAAGCCAAAACTACTTCTATATATACCAGACAACCATCTATGGCAGACAAATAGTGTAGGGACTACTTAAATTGTATGAAGCATGCATGGTATTGCTGGAACTTAACACAGCTGGTTTTCCGCTCTCTTTTCTTAGTTTCGTTTGCACCATCCTGTAATCGGAGATTCACAGAATCCCTATATTGTGGAAAGAGGCTATTTGGCCCATTGAGTCTGCACTGACTTTCCGAAGAGCATCCCAACCAGCTCCAGCCCTGCACGCTAATCCCTGTAACCCTGCATTTCCCATGGCTAATCCACCTAGTCTGCACATCCCTGAACACTATGGAGCAATTTAGCATGGCCAATCCACCTACCTTGCACACCTTTGGATTGTGGGTGGAAACTGGAGCACCCGGAGGAAACCCACACAGGGGCATGGGGAAGTTATGGCAAACTCCACACAGACAGTCGCCTGAGGGTGGAATCAAACGCAGGTTGCAGGCACGGAGTGGCAGCAGTGCCAACCACTGAGCCATCGTGACACCCCCTATAATTGCCCACCTTCCGCCCACCTCAAGTCCCACAGCTTGCAGAGAACCTAGCACCTGGGCAAACGAGACACTGAGTAATAAGAACATAAGAACTAGGAGCAGGAGTAGGCCGTCTGGCCCTTCGAGCCTGCTCCGCCATTCAATAAGATCATGGCTGATCCTTTCGTGGACTCAGATCCGCTTAACCGTGTTCTCACCGTATCCCTTAATTCCTTTATTGTTCAAAAAAAATCTACCTTTTTTTTAAAAAACATTTACTGAAGTAGCGTCAACTACTTCACTGGGCAAGGAATTCCATAGATTAACAACTCTCTGGGTGAAGAAATTCCTTCTCAGTTCAGTCCTAAATCTGCTCCCTCTAATCTTGAGGCTATGCCCTCTTATCCTAGCTTCACCTGCCAGTGGAAACATCCTCTCTACTTCTATCTTATCTATTCCCTTCATAATTTTATATGTTTCCATAAGATTCCCCCCTCAATCTTCTGAATTCCAATGAATATAATCCCAATCTACTCAGTCTCTCCTCATAAACCAACGCCCTCAACCCTGGCACTGGAGCAATTAGAAGTAAATGGAGAGATGGAGACAGAAGGAAAAAAAAAGTAGATTCCCTCTTTGCTGCTGGTGCCATTAAATCTCTTCTTGTGTTGAATGGCACTGTGCAATCCCTGCAGGATCTCAGCTGCCAGATTATGCCAGCTATCATTTGACTGGGGAGAATGCTACTGGCACCAAAGATGCCTGCAATTAGCCATTGGGACTGAATTATATACCGTCAAAGATAAAAAGAACTTTGCAATTTTAACCTTCTGTGCCAGAAAAGAAATCTAGGATCTATATGTACAACATTCTGGAAGTCATTGCAACTTCTTAGAGAGCAGGAGATTTAAATTTAACATTGACCGAATACTGGCACTACAAAACTGAGAATGGAAGGTTTAAAGAGGAGTGAAGGGAGAAGGCTGAGGGAAGAGAGAGCAGATTAGGATTTAAAAAATGGAACAAAAGAATGCCGATGTGGGAAGAGGGGAATGGGCCAGTCTAAGAACACAGTAGCCACATCATGCAGGAAACCTTGTGCATTCTTCCTTGCCTAAGAACTTCTCTGAACAGTTTTATTAGAAAAATAGTTTAAATTTTTAAAAAAATCAGGTCCAACCTAGTGAACATTCTCTGGATTGCATCCAATGCCTTTAGATCTTTAGTTGGATAAGGGGACCAAAACTATTCAGAGTTTTAGCTGTGATCTGACTACTGCTTTGTATAGTTTTAGCGAGACTTCACTATTTTAATGTCCCCTTCCCTTTGCACCCAGGTACTGGCAAACTTGCAGCATGCCACATCCATGACGCCATGCCAAGATTTTGTCTCACAAAATCGCAAGAACAGATTCCTGCTGGAGCCTTACTTGCTCTGAATGCATGATGTTCATGAGACATCCAGGATTGTGGTTTGTGCTTGGAGTCAAATTGCATCATGTTCCAAAGAGTACAAGTACAGTCTGTACTAATCAAGTACTTCCTGAAGTGGAGCATACTGATAAGTGACAGCCAAGTCTCACTTACTGAACCTTCTGCCTTCCTCAAACCTGAAGCATCACTATGCATGCAGAAGAATACATGAAAGGGACAGATCACGTAACATAGGCTAGCACTTCTAAAACATTTGAACAGAGGACACATGCATCATTGACTAGTCCAAAATTTATTGCCCATCCCAGAGGGCAGTCAACCACATTGTTGTGGATCTGGACTCACATGTAGGCCAGACCAGGTAAGGATGGCAGATTTCCTTCCTTACAGGACATTGGTGAACCGGACGGCACATTTATTTTAATGACAATCGATACTGAATTCATGGCTGTGATTGAAGAGCATTTTATTGAATTCAAATTTTACCAGCTGTTATGACCCCAGAATATTAATGTGGGCTTCTGGATTATTAATCCAGTGACATTACCACCACACCACCACGTCTGACACGGTAAGATGGTGTGATGTTACCAACACAGCTATAGGCATGCACCATGAAGTATCACATTTATGCCACCAGTTAGTTCGAGGCAAAGGACGTCAAAACTTGGTTTACTCATATTTAAGCCAAAACCTAAAAGGAAATCTAATGGTTCTCTGAAACTGCTAGAAAATGCAGAATACAAATTGGTAACCCAACGAAGTACAAACTAAAATAGTACATAAAAATTGTAATGGCATTCACTAAACAGGCTGAGTGAGTTTAAGACTGCTAAATTTATTGATCAGAAACCTCCATAAGATCCTGATTTAGAAATGTCTGACTTACAAATGCTCAATCTTACAAACGTGATCCCAAACAGGGGTGTAATTTGACATATGAACATTTTGCTGCAGTTAACAAATATAATCCTGGTTACAAATTGCCTTGTGAATGGACTCAAGAACGGAACCCTCTTGCAGTCCGTATACACATCATGCATCTGCTGCACTTAAAGCCATTAAAGTAATATAACAGTCATTTCACACGACATTCCCTGGAGCTGGACAGTTGGAAATATATCAGTACCCGCCCAACAACCTCCCTCAGCAACTACAGTTAGCGCCCAACTGACGCTAGTACTTCCAGTATTTAGACTTCCTAGTCTTCCGAGGACACTCAGTTCTGTGAAGCAGTGAAATGCTTCACAATGGATTCCTTGGTAGGATGCTCTTGGCTTTATTGTGAACACTACCGAGGAATCAGGGTGGGTGGGTGGTGTAAAGGGGTGTCAACATTATTAAAGATGTAAAATTGAATACCAAATAATCTGGCGAAGAGTGACGGAAACATTTGAAATTAGACGACTCAAAATATTAAAAATAACACCAGAACCCGGCCATTCTGATGGATCATCGCTGATCTGAAAGAGTAACTTGTTTTCTCATTATGCAGGTTCTTGTGAGTATTTCAGCATTTTCTGGTTTTGTTTCCAATTCCGAACATTTTGGTTGGCAGGTTAAGAATTGCGTTTTTGACTCACCTTTAATTTCTTCACTAAGTTCATATAGGCCCGTTTGTTTTCTTCGGATCCTCCCTGGGAGGTACTGGATAGATCTGATGCCAGGCTCCCATTGATTAACACTCCCAGCATGTCCAGCACAGTGGTGAAGAGTTCACTGGGAAAGGCAAACAGGGAAGTCAATGCCTAATCTTAATTGGGCTGCATCTACAATAAAAAAAAACCTGGCAATCCTTGCACAACATTAGACAAAATCTTAAGTGCGTCACTCCACTTCTTGGAGGAATTGACGAAGCCTTTGGAACCAAATTTGGATTTTCTTCACTGTCATTGATGATACATGTGAACATAATTGGAGGGGGTTGGGGTAAGCTGGGAATGTGGAATTTGAAACACAAATAGATCATCCATGATCTCACAGAATGGCGCAGCAGATTTGAGGTACCAAATGGCCTACTTATGCTCATAATTCAGACCTTTGTGCATACTAGAGGGGCTGAAAATGTCTGAGACCCACACAATATCTCACAATGAAGCGTAGCAGGTGGAATCTAAGAGAGTTTAACAGCAATTGGAGGAAAGAGAAGAGGAAAACAGAAATATTGCAGAAGAGCTAAAACACCTGAGCTAAAGACTGGAAAGCATGACATTAGTCAGACAATCAGAACCTCTTGTCGTTTATACAGAACTATGCCATGTCTACTAATTTGTTCCTGTTAAGGAGTCCGTGAAGGTGTGAGGATTTTCAAAGCTTGGCAAAACTTTTAGTGCTTGAATCAGCTATACAATCAATCCCATGGTTGCTCAGAAAAAAAAGATTATAATATGTTATCAAAATGATTTAATGCAATCTTTTGATTCATTATTAATAAAAGGATTACTTGTTAGTGTGCACATCGACAGTTCCTGAGGTAATGATCTGTAGCAGCAGTAAAGCCCAGTCTGTAGTCCACTGGGTACTACGCTGGACAGTGTCAAACATCCCACCAACCTGGAAAGATAGATCCAAACAGAGTTATTCCCACTAGAATGATATATGACTTACAATTAATTCCAAAAAGCACCAATATTTTCCAAAGTGAAGAGTTAGTGCAGCAGACCAAGTCAGATCTTATTTACATTTTTGAATGAAATGAGGCAAGAGATAGCTCAAAATGTTGAACCAGCAGGAGCGGGTACAGAAATTCTCTCGGCATCTCATATCATTCAATACAGGGCAATGTTTCCTCTCCCACATTCACCAGGATCAGCGCTTGGAAACATCGAATCATAGAAGCATGGAATCAAAAAATCTCCAGAGTGTGGAAGCAGGCCGTTCAGCCCATCGAGTCTACACTGACCCTCAGCAGAGCATCTCATCCAGACCTTCCCCCTACCCTATCCGTGCAATCCAGCATTTCCCATGGCTAATCCATCTAGCCTGAACATCCCTGGGCACTATGGGCAAATCCTTTAGGGAAGGAATCTGCCAACCTTACCTGGTCTGGCCTACATGTGACTCTACACCCACAGCTCTTGTCTCTTATCTGCCCTCTGGGCAATTAGGGATAGGCAATAAATGCTGGACCAGCCAGTGATGACCTCATCTCGTGAATTAATAACAATTTAGCACGGCCAATCCACCTAGCCTGCACATCTTTGGACTGTGGGAGGAAACCAGGGCACCCAGAGGAAACCCACGCAGACACGGGGAGAATGTGCAAACTCCACACAGTCGCCTGAGGGTGGAATCGAACACGGGTCCCAGGTGCTGTGAGACGGCAGCGCTGACCACTGAGCCACCATGCCACCAAAATGATTTCTTTCCATCTTTGTCATCCAACGTTGTTGGGCCAGACATGACTGCCTCCCACAGCCCCACATTCAGAATATCCACCCCAACTGCCTTGGTACGATTTCTTTCAAACCCCTTTTCAACAGTGACCTGAGCGAGAGACAGATTGGGACGTTAGTGCCAATTTACAAGCTGGCTGCACACTGTCACCAGTCCCCTAACTCCAGCAACAGGGATAATGATGGGGGGGAAAGAGGTAAACCCTCAGTCTCAGGAAAAGAACCTTTCCTCTTAGGAGGGACTGATTTCAGGGAACATTGTTGAAAATGAAATACAAACTTCTGAAGCCAGGGAAAGCCTGGTTTTTTTATAACGTTTGGTGAAACTCACTTTATATTAATCCTATCATCAGGTTCTCAGGCTGGTTACATTTGTTCCCTGATTCTGCAGCACTAGGACAAGGAGCTTTTTGAAAGATGTGGGTTGGGATTAAATTTTTGGCCCACCGTTATGCTCACAGAAGCCAAAAACCAGCAATCACACATTTTTCAGCATTTCCTATTGGCCATTCAAAAGGCATTACTGCGTCCAGAAGCATTCAGAGGGCAAAATATTTCACCACCGCACCACCTCCACCCCCCCCCACCCCCCCAATATAGTGACAAAAATTGAGTCAAAACTCATCATGAAGTTTGTGCCTGATATCTTCCTGTCATCTCCATTAAAAGCAATGCTCGTTTACCTCCCCAAGGTAAAAGAAACATATGCAAGAACATGACAGGAAGCAGGAGCAGGAGGATTCCACTGAATTCCTCAAGCTGGCTCTGCTTTCATTAAATTCAAGGCTGATCTTGGGTGTCAAAGCTACTTTCCCACACTATGCTCATCACCCTCCATTCTTGTTAAATCCAAAAATCTGTCGATTTCAGTTTTGAATCCATTCAACGGCTAAGCATTCAAAACTCTGAGGTGGTGGATCCCAAAAAACCTGCCAACTTTCATAGCACAGTCTGCAACGGTGGAACCTTGATCCTGAAACTCCGTGCCCTTTGTTTTGGACTCCAGCTTGGGGCAAGAGTTTCCCGGAATCAACCCGGACAACCGCTTACAATTTTCAGTGCGATCACCTATCATTCCTCTGCTATACAGAGGATATTGGCCCATTCTACTTAATCTCTCATCCCAGAAAACAGTCGAATGGACCATCATAACACACATTCTAAGGATACTAAAACCGTGTGCACTATTCTCACCAAAGCCCCGTACAACTGTAACACATCTTCATTTTTCTCTTTTACTTTGCTTTTTGCTGCAAAAGTCGAAGAAAATGCTCGTCTTCTCAGCGGCTTGCAACTTGACAAATTGTCAACACTGCTGCTTTGTTGAGATTTAAAGGGCTGCGGAATAATTGGGTAATCTCTCCCACTGCAGCACTGTTAAGGTAAAAGCTGCACGACATTCACAGCTCAGGCTCACTGGTGTCATGGACAAGGGAGGCACTCACCTTAAAGCCGACATCAGATCCTCCTGCCGATCGCTCAAAGGGGCCAGAAAAGATTACACACTACGCCCTCCAGAGCGGCAGAACAGAGAATGGGAGAAAACACAGTTCCACCATTGACATCTATTGTGGGGGCAAGGTAACTACGCACAGGGGGTTAACCAATGCTGCCCTGCACTTCCTCACTTTGAGCAAGTGCCTCCCCAATTTTTTTTTGAAGAATTATTTCTGAAGGGACCCATGCTGCTGTCTCACCAGATTCAAACGCAGCTGCAGAGCTTCGTGCATCATCTGTCGGGCCTTTATGTCATCCTGGTAACGGTCTTCCCGCCAGTTACTCAAAATCTGGGAAGATTGCATGGAACAGTAGGTTTTTAATAACTAGATAATATATTTTTAAAAACATTCACTTCAATTTACACCATCTAATTAATGACACTGAACCTATGAAACTAAATTGCAAATACGGTTTCTATGGCACATCTTTCAGGCCAAATTTCTCCAGCTTTCTTTCTACTGAGAAATTTCAACCTTGCAGTCTCACACAGCATAACCTCGTCATAGAACCCCCTAGTGCAGAAAGACAACGTTCAGCCATCGAGTCTGCACAGACCCTCCGCACAGCATCCCGTCCAGACCCACCCAACTCCCTTTCCCTGTAACTACCGCATTTACCATGGCTAATGCACCAGCCTGCACATCTCTGCACAATATGGGGCAATTTAGCACGGCCAATCCACCTAACCCACACATCTCTGGACTGGGGGAGGAAACAGGAGCACCTGGAGGAAACGCACACAGACACAGGGAGAATGTGCAAACTCTACACAGTCATTTACTTTTTCATTGGTAATTTTTGTGAATTGTCCTGATGATTGCAAGACAAAACGTATCTTTTTCAGCAATATTCACATTCTACTCTACCGAATGACTCAGTCACAATAAATTGCAATTGCAGCTTTAACACATTATGTACATATTTCTGTAAGTCAAACAATACAAGGTTATAACTGTAATCCTTACTCAACCATATGACATAAGTTTCAAATTGAATGGGACTCACACTGTTGATATATACTTTGCGAAGATAAACAAAAGATGACCTTCATGTAGAAGCCTGATATACAAATCAGAGAACTCCCCATCTCTTGACATAGAATTTACAGCTCAAAAACAAACCAACTGGGCTACACTGGTGTTGATGTTCCAAAGGAGCTTCCTCACACCTGATATCATCTCACAAAGTCGTATTCCCCTTTGTTCATTTCCAGTGATTTAGGTCATTTAAATCATAAAGAGATGGAAGGTGTTATCAACTCTGTCACCGAACAGCACTTTCTGAGCAATAACCTGCTCATTGACACTCAATTTAGGTTCCATCAGGTCTACTCAGCTCCTGATTTCATTACAGCCTTGGTTCAAACATAAACAAATGAGCTGAATCCAGAGGTGAGGTGAGACTGACTGTCCTTGACATGAAGGCCACATTTGATGGAGTGTTGCACTAAGAAGTCTCTGCAAAACTACAGTCAATGAGAATCAGCAGACAGACTCTCTTCTGGTTGGAGTCATACCTAGCACACAAGAACAACAATAGAAAATGCTGGAGAAACTCAGCAGGTCTGACAGCATCTGTGGAGAAAGAGACAGAGTGAACATTTCGAGTCCAGTATGGCTCTTCTGCAGAACTGGCATAAAGGAGGATATTTGTGATGCCAAGAGATCAATCATCTCAGTTCCGGGACATTTCTGCAGGAGGTCCTTAGGCCCAACCATCTTGAGCTGTTTCACCAACGGCTTTCCCTCCATTATAAAGTCAGAAATGGAACGTTCTGCACCACTGCAACTCCTCAGATACGAAGGGGGTCATACCCAAATTCAGCAAGACTAGACAATACAAAAGGCTTAGACTGACAAGTGGCAAGTAGCGTCCACACCACAAAGTACCTGGTAATGACCATCTCCAACCAGAGAGAACCTAACCATTGCCCTTTGACATTCAATGGCATTATCATTGGTGAATCCTTCACAATCAACATCCTGGTGATTATACTGACCAAAACTGAACTGGACTAGCCATATACATACTGAGGCTACAAGGCTAGCTTAGAGGTTAGAATTCCTGCAGTGAGCAACTCACATCCGGACTCCCCAAGGCTTCTCCATAAGGCACAGGTCAGGAGTGTGATGGAATACTCCCAACTTGCCTGAATGGGGTGCAGCTAAAACAACACTCAAGAAGCTTGACAGCCTCCAGGACAAAGCAGCCCCATTGGTTAGCACCAGATCCATAAACATCCTCTCCTCCACCACCGACGCTCAGTAGCAGCCATGTATACTGCAGAAAATCACCAAGGCTCCTTAGATGGCACTGTCCAAACACACTACTTTCATTGAGAAGCACAGGGGCTGTGGATATGTGGGAACATCATCACTTACAAGCTTCCCTCCAAGTCACTTAGCATCCTGACTTGGAAATATATTGCCGTTCCCTCAGTGTCACTAGGTTAGAATTCTAGAGCTCTCCCACTAACGGCATTGTACCTATGCCCACACGAAATGGACTGTAGCAGTTCAAGTAGGCAGCTCATAACCAGCTTCTCAACGGCAACTACGGATGGGCAATAAATAATGGCATAGCCAGCAATGTCCAAATTCCACGAATGAATACAAAAAAAAGGGACTGCATTGGAGAGGGAAATGGAAAATGTGTTTATCATTGTAGTTTCTGTTTTGCATATTTACAGCCAATGCAAACAAAATGAAGGAGTGTCTACTTCAAAAAACTAGTCCCACTTTAAACAAGCTGAATTGTTTAATTCACTTTCTGCAGTAGTCAACACAGCATGTTGACCTTGAAGGTCATTGCTCACATCATTTTCAGAACTGGGGCTTTACGTGTTTACTGAGTGACATTCATAATCTTACTGGATCTGACCCTGGTTAAGATATTCTGCTCAGAAATGATCAGATATAATAATTTTCACTTAACTTGATCCATCACACAGACAAGAGCATCAATGATGATGTATAAAGTCAAAATGAAACCGTTGAAAGACTAAAAGAAAATTACTTCTTCCAGCCCTGCAACCTTCCGTGATCTCTGTGCTCATTCTGTTCTGGCCTTTTCAGCATTCCCAATCTTTACCACTTGACCATTGACTGATGTTCCTTCAACATGGTGTCAAAATGTATGTGGCTGGATGTAAAATCATGCTTTACTTGAATCCTGTGGAGCACCTTGGGATGTTTTACCAGATTATATAAACTGTTGTTATTGTTACACCATATACTTGACCACCATCCTCCTTTGTAGGAGTATATCATTCATTAATATATTTGTGAGAAAGGATTAAAACACAACTCTATTTTGTTACAGGAATAGCACTGAATTCAGGTAAAAGTCAAACTCACCATAGTCCTACCAGACCAGAGGGCTGCGTTCTCATCAGAGACAGCCAACTGGTGATGGTTTAACCTGACGGTCACCAGGCCTCAGGCAATGGGAGAGTTTGAGAAGGAGAATCCTTCAGAGTAACCTCAGCCATTACAGGAATTAAACCCACACTGTTGGCATCAGTCTGCATCACAAACCAGCCATCCAGCCAACTGAATTCAGTCCCGGTGGTTACAGTAAAACAGTCACCTGTGAATACTTTGATAAAGCATGATCACAAAGTACAGTTGTCAACCTTTCTGTAATACTCTTAACAAGATGCTGCATTTTTATCCTTGGTTCAGATTTGAACGTGGCTGGCAAAGTCATATGTTTCCCATTCCTATTGATGAGCTATTGATTCCTAGGATGAGCTATTGAACTGATTTCTTGAAACTGCAGCAGTCCATGTGATGCAGGTACTCCCACACTGTTGTTAAGAAGTGGATTCCAGGTGTTTGATGCAACTACAGTGATGTTTCAAACTTGGGGGTGGGGGGAAATCATGCAGCTGATGCAGTGTCCTTCTCGGTGGTACAAATCCCAGGTTTGGAAGCGGGCACATGTCCCAGGTTTGGAAGGTGCTGATGAAGGAGTCTAGTGAGTTGCTGCTGTGCTTCTCGCAGATGGCACACACGGTTGCCATCTTGTGTCAGTGATGGATGGGGTGCCGATCAAGCAGACTACATTGTCCTGGATACTGCCCAGCTTTGTGAGTGCCAGAGAAACCAGTCGCGAATGGTGGTGGAACATTAAAATAACAACAAGAGCTGGAGGCCCCACAAATATCCCCATCCTCACCATGGTGGCAGGGTGGGGTGTGAGGGAATCCCAGGATATCAGTGCAAAAGACAAGCATTTGCAACTATCGTCAACCTGAATCACCAAATAAAAGATCAATCTAAGCATGCTCCTGAAGCTTCCATAGATGAAGTCTTCAGTCAACTTGATTCATTCTAGATAATAAAAAAAAATGGTTGAAAGCATTGGATACGGCAAAAGGTATGGGGCCTAACAACATCCTGGAAATACTGCTTCAGCCTGAGTCCATCCTGACCATTCTCTGACAGCAATCTAGACTTTTAACAATTGCAGCATCTTGGTTATAGATCCAGCTCCGCATCCTCTCACAAATACTGTTCTTTTTGGGATAACAAGGTGTTTTCTGAAGGGTCTAGACCTGAAACGTCAGCTTTCCTGCTCCTCAGATGCTGCTTGGCCTGCTGTGTTCATCCAGCCCTACACCTTGTTATCTCAGATTCTCCAGCATCTGCAGTTCCTACTATCTCTGAAACAACTGTTCTTTTTGACTCGTCTAAATATCCCCTGACTGCTGAAACAGTTCAGTCCCGACTTCTGCCAACACTCACTCTTTCATAATTTACATCTCATCTCACTCATTAAGGGAGGGAACGGCCTAGTGATATTATCACTGGACAATCCAGATAATGTTCTGGGGATCTGGGTTCAAATCCTGCCATGGCAGAATATCAGGTTTAAATGCTTCCTCCTTGGCTTCAAATCCCTCTCAAACTATCCCTCTCATTTCTCTCCACAGCCTCTTCTTCTACAACAGACCACGCATGAATACTTCTTGCCTCATTTCAAATTTATGTCTATTCCCCATTCACTCCTCCCATCAGTAGCCATGCTCTCAAGTTGCATTGATCCTTAGGTTTTTTTTTAAAAAAAAGACTTATTCCTTAAATGTCTCATTCTCCCTCTCTGCTTCCCATGATACAACACAATCTTTTGACCAGTCCTTTGCTCAATGGTCATAATATGTGTTTTTGTTCAGTATCCAATTTTTCTCATATCTCTTTGAAGTGCTTGGGAGATGTTTTCTATACCCAAGGCACCTTTACATCAAAACATTTATCAATTCTGGTGGTTTTAAAAGACTCTCCAGTTAAATATTAAGTAGATGTTGGGAGGTATGATATGTTTGATGTTGACAATTTGAAACAAGAATAGAACTTTTTTTTTTATTCATGCATGGGATCACTGGCTGACCAGTATTTATCACATTGCTGTGGTGAAAAATACTCGGCAGTTTACTGTATACACAGTTAGCATCTGTGTATAGATAGAGATAGAGTTTCGGGTCCGGTGACCCTTCCTCAGAACTGTGGTTCTGAGGAAGGGTCACTGGGCCCAAAACGTTAACTCTGATGTTTTCTTCAAAGATGCTGCCAGACCTGCTGAGCTTTTCCAGCTACTTCTGTTTTTGTTCCTGACTTACAGCATCTTTTGGCTTTTATTAGAGATAGAGTTAGTGCTTCAGGTCTGTGACCCTATTCACATGGCTTTGAGTTCAGATGTTACCTAACCTACTGAGTTTTTCAGTTTCTGTATTTAAATTAGAATATTAGATAGGTGTAACGTGTTAGTGACTTTTAACCAACACTCCAGCACCGTGGGTCTACGTGCACAAAATGGACCACAGGTATTCAAGAAAACAGCTCACCACCACTTTCTCAAGGGCAATTAGGGCCAGGGAATAAATGCTGACCCAGCCAACGACACTGACATCCCCTAAATTAACTTTAAACAAAATGACACAACTTGGGGCATGTAGGATTTGTATCCAGACTTCCTGGCCCAGAGGTAGAGACATTATCAATCTGTCAGAAGAGCCTCCTGCAGTGCCACAACGATGCCACCCAAAGGTTGCAGGAACAGCACCTCATATTCTGCTTGGGAACCCTGCAGCCCAATGGTATCGATGTGGACTTCACAATGTGGACTTCTCCCTTACCCCTACCGCATCCTAAAACCAGCCCAGCTCATCCCCGCCTCCCTAACCTGTCCTTCCTCCCACCTATCCCCTACTCCCACCTCAAGCCCCACCCCCATCTCCTACCCACTAACCTCATCCCGACCCCTTGACTTGTCCATCCTCCCTGGACTGACTTATCCCCTCCCTAACTCCCCACCTACACTCACCTTTACTGGCTCCATCCCCGCCTCTTTGACCTGTCTGTCTCCTCTCCACCTATCTTCTCCTCTATCCATCTCCCCCTCTCTCCCTATTTATTTCAGAACCCCCTTCCCCTCCCCCATTTCTGAAGAAGGGTCTAGGCCCGAAACATCAGCCTTCCTGCTCCTCTGATGCTGCTTGGCCTGCTGTGTTTATCCAGCTCTACACCTTGTTATCTCAGATTCTCCAGCATCTGCCGTTCCTACTATCCCTTAAAACCTTGCTGCCTTTCATGTGTCTATTTTTGTAAAAAAAAAATGACCTGCTCAGATAAGTTCTGACACGTGTCAGTGGCAGGTCGGACTTGAGCCACAAAAGCCCAAAAGCGCCATGACAATTCAGATGCAGGTCATTCCATGAGATAGCCTGTTAAAGCCACTAATACATGGCACCAACAGCTTCATATTTTAATCAAACTGTTTGGCCATGTTATAACACAACTCCTTGGAAGGTGGGACTTGAACCTTCCAGTCCAGAGGTTGGGGCAGTGGAAACCCTGCTTCGACTTGCAATCACAGGAATTCCTCAGCTTGAACCTCACTGCAGGCACTTCCTAATCGACATGTTGTCACACACCTCTGGAGCAGGTGGGACTTGAACCCGGGTCTCGTGGTTCAGAGGCAAGGACAATACCATCGCACCATGAGTCCTTCCCTTCGAAGGGGTTCATCCCCAGATTCTCTCAGACCACCAAGCTTATAGTCAACTGCCACAGAGACTGACTAGACTTTGTTGTAGCATGGTCTAGATTAACAATAAAAACTGCATGTTCAATAAAAAAAAAGTTCAAATTCCAATGATTCCATCCTTCTGTAAGCAATTTGCTATAATGCATCTTGCATTAGCAACCTGATAGGTACTCTGCTTTGAGTTGCGAACACCTTAAAGTCAATGATCAAATCAAAATTCAATTCGGCAAGGTCCAGCATTAAAACAGGTTTCCATCCATGAACTGTCAGACTATTTTCACCATCAAGAGCCATGCTGCGCTAATCTATGCATAGTGCTGATTCTCTTTCTCAAAGCAGGGGAATACCCAAAATGTTGACTTCTCCTCCTCCAGAAACTGCCTGGCTTGCTGTGTCTCTCCAGCCTCCCATTTGCCTACCTGGTTGATCTGGTTTTGTAAGGAGGTCAGCAGGCCTTCTCTCTGCTCATCCTGTCCTTTTAGGCAGGTCAGGACCAATGACAGGAATGGCTGTTGACTCAACAGTGACATGCTGTGGAAGGGGAAACAACAGAGATTTGTCACGTTACAAAGATAGCTGGAAAGAGAGATTTGTTGCTGAATACTTTGATAGCTCCTGCAGTACACATTGTTGTGATCGCTTGAATTTTGGCATTCTTGCATTCATCCCGGTGAGAGTAAAGCAAACAGCTTCAGTAACTTGCCTCTCTTTTTATTAACATTCAAGAACTGTAACACCGATTGACAGCAGGATATGGGCGGAAACCAACCAGAACCTTGTCAGTGATTCTAATACAATTTCCCTCTGAGGTTCCCTACCCGTCATACAAAGACTCATCAAAACAAAACACCAGTGCTGAGAAACATCACGCTGAGCTTTCCCAAACCCACAGATCAGTTCACATTGGGATGATTCTCTGACACACGAGCACACCCAGCAGCGATGGCCACTTGTTTGGTAGGCACAGGTAACCATTAAGACAAATAGCCACTCTTGCAGAATTGAATAGCAACTTTACTAGTTTTCCCAATGGTACACAGACACCCGCTCCCTGCACCAAGAGCCCAGCAATACAGTGGAGGTGACACCAGAGCAGGAAGTCCATGGTACAACACACGTGAAGCCTTTTATTAACCAGGCAGCGGTAAATCACACTGATCAGGTCTCCATGAGGAAGGGGTGATAACGCAGTCAGTCCATGAAGACTGAGGCCTCCGTTAACGTAGCTCTACCTGCTGCTGAAGGCTCCCACATGGTGTTACCAGCGTTTCTGTTTCTGCATCACACCGCCACACCATGAGTGAGCCTGCTGGTCCCATCTAGGAGTTGTGCTAAACCTAATTATTGGGACTGCTGGGGGTGGCTTCATCATCAGCTACCTCTAGGAAGCTTATGTCTGCATTCTTGTCACAGCCGATTCCAGGATCACAATCTGGATTTAAGGCCATGTCAGACCCGTGAGCTAGACAGGAAAATTCAGCTTGCCCTGAATCATAAAAGGAAGTAAACTGAAACTTCAACGGAACGCTGAGTAGCTATTTTCGATGTTCAGGGATGGTAATGCCTCAGCGCAGTGTCTCATGTGCAGAACTGTCATTCATTCCGAAATGACAGCACTACAAATAATCAAGGCATGATTCAGAAATAGTGCAGGGCAGTGGATTACAACATGAACAGCAGAAGGCAAGTGGTGTTATTCATAAAACAATGAGCCGTTTCCTGTGTGTTGCTAACCTACATCATCATCACTACGAAGAAATTCTTAACATCCAGAAGCAATTTAAAAGCAATTTCATTTTCTGAAAAAGGGTCTAGGCCCGAAACGTCAGCTTTCCTGCTCCTCTGATGCTGCTTGGCCTGCTGTGTTCATCCAGCTCTACGCCTTGTTATCTCTAGCAATTTAAAAGATTTGTTTTCATTTATTTTTGTTGTAAAACAATTTTCTTTGAAAGGGATGATATGACAATTGGTGAGGTGGTAAGTTTGGAGGAGGATGGTCTTAGGTTAGAGAATGATATAGACAGGCTGGTCAAATGGGCAAATCATGGGCCAATGGAGAGGGTGCAGAGGAGATTGACCAGGATGTTGCCTTGCCTGGATAGTAGTCATAAAGAGAGTTTGGACAGACTGGGGTTGTTTTCCGTGGAGCAGAGAAGGCTAAGGGAGGGACCATGATTGTGATGCACAAAATTATGAGGGGCACAGATAAGGTATACATGAAGGAACTTTTCCCATTGATGAAGAGATCAATGACCGGGGCATAAGTTTAAGCTAACGGACAGGAGGTTTAGAAGGGGATATGAGGAAAAGTATTTTTTTCCATTGAGAGGGTGGTATGAATCTAGAACTCACTGCTGTAAGGATGGTAGAGGCAGAAATATTTAAGTAGTATTTAGATGTACACTCATCTGCCAAGGTGTGCAAGGGCCAAGAGTGAGAAAATGGGATTAGAATAGTTAGGAACAAAAACAAAGTTGCTGGAAAAGCTCAGCAGGTCTGGCAGCACCTGTGGAGGAGAAAACAGAGTTAACGTTTCGGGTCCGGTGACCCTTCCTCAGAACTGGACCCAAAACGTTAACTCTGTTTTCTCCTCC